AAAAAAAAAAAAAAAAAAAAAAAAAAACAGAATGTATCTCTCTCTATTTACAGTTTTGTCACTGCAAACAATGTTGGTTGCAGAATTCCAGGAGTCTTGATTTCCACCACAACCCATCCCCCAATTCCACTGCCATTTGATCCAATACATGCCTTTTCACTGAACTTGGATGTAAAACATATGTCCAAATACATGGACATAAAGTAAAAACGATATATGTCATGATGACAATACAATTTTAAAAAGATAAAGACAACCAAACAAGTAATTCAAAATCTAAACCACAGTTAACCTCCTTCTGGGACTCTGAGATTGAAAAATCTTGTTCTGAGATACAAAAGACCAGTTTACTGAGAAATAATTACTCTGCTTTTTGAAGATATATAATTCATATTGGACCCCCTCAAAATAACATCCTTTTAAAGTGGGAGATTCAAATTTAATATTGGAAGAAAAAGGTTACAAAAATAATTAAAGAACTGAGTACATAATTTAATGCCATTTGAATGAAAACAGAAGTCATGATGCTATATTCAATAGTGGAGCTAGTATGCAAGTAATTGTCTTTCAGCATGGGTTTGTTTTGGATATGATAGAGTATAAACTAGCTATATCCATGGTTTGAATTGGTGGATTTACCATGGTGTTCAGCCATTCTGCATCAAGAAATGTTCTCATTAGGACTCATTGACTCAGCAGAGTTGGAGGAAGCAAGTCCGTACCTGGATGGAAATCTTCTAGAGAAAACATTTGGTGCTGCAGAAAGTAGGGCTGGTGATTCAGAAAACAGCACACTTCCCTCTGAGTCTCTACTACACCAACATCCCAGACAGAGGACATGGGACAGAGCGTGGTTGGAGGCCACAAAACTCCATGGCCAAGAAACAAAATATGAGGAAAACCATGCCAAAGAACTATGAGCAGAATTTGCTTCAGTTGTTGCTTTCAACACTTTCCAACAAGCAAAAAGAAATTGTTTTAAATGAAATGATTTTACAAACATTTCCATTTTTGCAAAAAGGCCTTTTTTGACCTTTTTACTTGACACATTCAAACCAACTCTAACCATCTTAGAAAACTCACAATTACAAAAATTCCACTTTCTGAAAACATTGGGCAACATTTTCAAATGAGGAGACTTGCCCCTTGGCGTGTGATTGATGAGGGCCATTCTTTAAATACTTAACATAGAGAATACATTTAGAAACTAACGGGGTGATTCTGTGCTGCACACCGCCACAGCACAGAACTCGCAGCCCAGGGGCAAGTGGGGCTGAGGTAGCTTTAAACCACCTTTGCATCCTCCCAACCCTGGAGGTGCGGGCTGCTCCCAGCATAATTTAGACAGGTTCTCATGTCTGCCTAAATTGCAGCAGACTTCCGAGGCTGCCCTATGAGCCCCCAGCACTGCCCGGAATCTCCACACTGCTACATGCTGCAACTCTGAGCCTGACATTCTCCTCCCGCCTTCCAGCTCCACACCCAGCGTGCCCCCTACACCAGGACTTTTGAGACAGTTCTCAGAAGACTTTTAAAGCCCCTCTATGTCTCTCTAGCCCTTTTACCAAATGTGGAGGGGCTGGAGTAGGGATGAGGATCTCACACATATTTTTCAAGAACAATAGCCTACAACATCAAAGGCCACTTTCTACCCTAGGTTCCACCTGTTGGTTCCAACTTATATCAAAGGAATTCAATAGGAAACTACATTTGGATCCAATTGTTTTAAATTCCTATCCTAACATGCTGGCGTTTAGTTTAATTCAGACCTAATTACAGGCTGTAGCATATGAGAGAAACAGTTAAATCACCTTTTCGTCCCTGGTGATCCTGGCAGTTCTCATGAACACAGGGTCCCCATGCAGACCAGGCAGAAACCAGACAGTCAGAAGAACATGGAACGTTGCACAGCTGGGAGGCAGAGGGAGCAGGGCCAACACATAGTTTCTTGTCAACAGGCCTAGTGACTAAACAGGAAAAAAAGTTATGGACTGTAGTTTCATTCATATAAACGTCACAGAGCTTCTGAATTTACTATTGGCATTTGTTTCCTAGAGCAAACCCAATCTGCTAGGCTCTAATTAAGCAGCAAAAAAGAACCTACCTGACCCATAGTGTTTTATGTTCTAAAGCAAAATATTTAAGCATTGCTTAAGTCCATCCCTATTCAGCAAAGCAGTTAAATGCAGGCTTATGTTAAGCACATGCTTAAGGGCTTTCCAGTCTAGGACTGGACTGCTGAATCAGAGTACCAGCTGTATTTTCTCTCTAAAAGTAACTATGTACAATTGAAACACCTTACTCAGCAGATCCACGGCCTGTGAATATTCTGGTCAGGTCTACTTGCTATAGAGGAAAAAATGTGTTTACATTTTACTGCTATTAATACTGCAGAAACCAATGGTGATGAAGTGATTAATTACATTCTCCTCTAGCTCATGCACCACATTGGTTTAACTAAATTCCAACTGTTGTTCCAAATCTTGCCCTCATTCACACCATTAATTATGTAGATCTCCATGGCTGTGCATGATGGATAGATTGCACAATACCAGCAGACTCTCCATCTTGGAAGACGATATGGCCCAGATGTATTTACATACAATGCATTCAATAAGGGACCATGGGACTGACTGGAAAAGTGTTTTCAAAAACTATATGATATATGTATTAGCAAACATTTCTTTGTTTCTTCCTGATGATCTACCATTTTATGCTTAAAGGAATCCATGGTCTTAAATTGCTTTTACAGAAGGCTTTGGTGCTTGTCTCAGCAAACATTAATGCACAAGATTCTCTCATGCTTGTACTTCAAGTTCAGATGCAGGAACACTGAGCAGCGACTTAGATTCTAAGTCATGGACTCAGAATTCATACCTCTTGCTCCTCAGGCACTCTACAATATAACTGTACTATTAAATGGCAATAGATGAAATTTAATTCAAAACTAATGAAAGATACTATTAATGTTAAAAAGACTGCTTTCTGAATGATTTCTGAAAAACAATATTGCCTTTGACATATTCATTTAGGGACTACACCAAGCTGGCAGGAATCCAATTCACCTTACTACTAAAGTAAATAGACCTTTTCTACAGATTGCAAAAGTCAAATGACAGAAAGGGTAAGATAAATATTAGAATTTTAACCATAAGGCTTTTTTTTTATCAAGAGGCTTCCTGCATTACTTAATATCCCCTCAGCACTAGGTTTAGCAAAATAATTTATCATTTTTTGTAACACACTGGGAAAAATGAAAGCAAATCAGTTTTAGGGCAGAGAGTCAACTCTAAGAATTAAGTCACATCCCATTCTAGTATAACTGTTTCATTTCAGCCATGTTGTGCATCTTTTGACATTATTTTGAAATAAAAATGGTAGCAATCATCCATACGTTTAGAGTATGAATATATAATTTCTAAAAATACCTTGATGAATTAGAAATATGCACATGGATATGGTCAAATGTCAAAAAGTCCTCCAAATTCCTGCCAGTAGTTACTGCATATTGCAGCAATGAAAACTTTTAACGAAATATTTCAGAAATAAGAAAAAAAAGGAATAGGTTACATTAATAAACACACATTACGGTATTAAATTAACTAAGTCATTTCGACTAGACATGGTGGCTGTAAAAGCACTACTTCTTTTGCCACACAAAGGCCAGGTGAACTCTAATAGAGAACTGACCATCTGTAAAAGAGTTCCATTATTTGTCTAGCCATCTGATTGGCAGACAACCCCAAACTCAAAGGTGGCTCCCACTAGTTCAAGGATGCAGTTCATTCATTGACCCTGTTCTGAGTTCCAGCAGAGCTTTATTTGCTTTTATTTGTCTGACTATATACATAGTATTTCTTTAAAACTGTAGCAGGATAACTGGTAGGAAGGAGATGGGTAAAGGTTCTGCAGGAAAGCAGAGAAAAAGAGGCTTAATACCTTTATGGATAATGCTGTTTTCCTTATTTGAATAAAGTTTTGTTCAGTGTTACAATAAAGTGTCTCTTTCTGTGATTCTTTTCATTGATTGAGTTTTGTCATTTGGCAAACATGCAACTTCCTACAAGGCAGAAATAGTTCATTCTAGATCAAAGATGCTCTATTGTAAAGGGTCAGTGGGAGAGAATTCAGTGTATTGCTGTGATAAATGGACAGACCTCTGTGTATTGGAAGGGTCAGGGTTTATTGCATCTTCTAACTTGTTTGATAATTGCACTTGTACTGTAAATAAGGCATTTACTTTGTTTGGGAAAAATGTCATATTTTCAGCTTGCTAACACTTGTGTTTCCTCTCAGAATTTCTGGGTCAATGCCCCTGAATCAAATAGCAGCCCATTTACTATAGATTATGTTTGTTCATATTTTTAAAAATTCGATGTTCTTCTGGATCTGTAGTATAAGCCTGAAAACTCAATTGAATGCAAATCTTGTAACTCTTTGAAACACTGCCCAGTTCTACAGCAGTGACTTATATAAATTAATTCTGGGCTAATAAATATAGTCACACTGATGCAGGGAGTTTCGACTATTTACATTCACACACGGCAATACTGAGATAAAGAACAATGTTAACCAATCAGAGAGTGAATGCACATCCTGACTACAGAAAGTCTTCCCAAAACTATTTTTCACTCCTCCCAGAAGGTAAATGATACTTTCTCCTGGACTTTTAACTTCATCTCTCTTAAGATTGTTAGTTTAAAATGAACACCTAAACATATCAGAAATTCATGGCCAGAACGGAGAAGTTTCTAGGTATCTGTGACAAGCCTATTTCGAACACACATAACAATGTGACAACGTCAAGATTTATTGCCCCTTAAGGAGTATCTCAACTTTGCCTTCACCTTAGTCAGTATTCACCTCTCAGGACAATACATCTTGATATCCACCACAACAGAAGTCAATATATATTTAATGTTTGGCAGAACCATACAGAGTTAGTTATTTACCAGAGGCCAAGATAGGGATAATATCCATTTTTAAAAGTTGTTATTGGTGACGCCAGGAAATATAGGCCAGTGACTCTTATTTCAGTACTAGAGGAAATTAGTTGAGAAAATCATTGAAGACTGAATTACAATATAAAACACCTACATGGTATACAATAGAAACAAATAATCACAACTCTGTAAAAGGCAAGTCATACGTCTCCAGCCCGAAAGACACGGTTTTGATAGTGACGACAAAATAGTGGACAAAGGATAACTGGGTCATTTTTTTTTAGCTTAGAAATGCCTCTGATACTAGCTCCTCACATGAGACTGTTAAGGAAACTTGCTGCATCCTGTGTCTGATAGAAAGGGATTTTTTTATGCATTTAAAAAAAATTGGAAGCCACAAGGTGAGAAGTAAAGTCCCATTATCAACTGAAAACTACTTCATAGTATAAATAAAAGGCTAATCTCAGCATGGAAAGAAGTTAATAATAGGTTGCCAGAAGCAACAGTGATTCAGTACATTTAGGAACAATCAGGAAGTCCAGCTACATGAATTGACATTATAAACTTTTCGGAGGAGAAAAGAGGTCTTCCTGTGTTTGTTCACCTCCTAGTACAACGTGGTCCCAATCCTGCTTGGTGTATCTCAGCGCTACCACAACAGAAATATATCTGGCAAACATTTACAATGGGGCATAGTGCTTATTATTGTAAGTATTATGACTGACCTGCAGAAGGTAGGAGGGATGCAGCTGAGAATCTATTGGAAGAGTCTTAAGGGAGTAGGGATACTGGGGACCAATGAAGGTGACCATGGGAAGAGAGGGTGTGCAGGTAGCTTGTTGATGATTGGTTAGAAAAAAGCAAGGGTCATAGGATACTAGAAAGCTTTGAGAAAAGGCCACAATGTACTTGGAAGTCACATTGCCAGAGAAGTCATGAAGAAGAAAGGGAAGGGAATCCAGAAGTTTTGGATACACTTCAGGAAAGGCTCTGAACCAAACCTTGGAACAGTGTGAGATTAGCCCTCCACTAATGGTTTAAAATTAGGATATTTTTATTCTAAGTAAAACTTCATTTTTTGTGACTGTCCTTTTCTTTGTGGATGTTCCAGTGTGGTCAACAAAGAGAAATTAAGTCATTTTGTTTTTATAATAAGAAAATATATAATGCTCTTATCACCGGGCTGTGAATGACTTGCATATTCCAGTGGCATAAATGGCCCTAAAATATAAATATGTGCACTTGATTTTTTTAGACTTCAAAGATAAGAAACTGAACTAAAATCTACAGTCTCATGCAAATTGATTGGGTGAAGCAGACTAACTACTTACCATATAATAAACAGCCCTATAAATAAATGCACCAGTAATAATGGAGTAAATATTACATGTCATATCAAATACCTTCATGAGAAACAAGTCACATTTTTAAAAAAGTTAAATATTTTACCTTCAAAATGTTTTCTATATAATCTGCTCCTTTCACTTCAGCTAGCTCCCAGACATCTGAGAACTAAAAATGTTATACCTCTGTGATAAATAGGTTGCTTTCCCTCATGAATTTAAACCCTTAAGATCCTGAATTACAAATTTAAAGCATGCCAGCTTTACACCCCAAAGATTTGCGTAAAATCGTTTTCAGTCTTGCTTCTAAAGGGTTTCTATTGAAGAAGCCAGCTGTTACATATTTATTATTCTATTATGTGACTTTAATCTTATAAATTCTGCTCACAGAATGTTAGATCAATAGCTCAACATCCCAACAATGCAGATTTGACACAGGCGTGCTTGAATATATTTCACACTGTGGAGGTACATTCTTCGTCATCTTCTCAAATCAGGTCCTTTTGATAAGAAAGGGCAGGTTTCTTACCTGAGAAAAAGGTTACTCTGAATTGGATCCACTAATCCAGATGCTGGATTATCCAGCTACAGCACCACCACTCAGTTAGCAAACAAAGATCCTTTCATGACACTGCTGACCATCAGTTATCTTTCGCCCCAGGTACCAGTCAAATTTTCCTATAGCCAATATATTCTAGCCTATTCTTTCCAAATACTTTCACAAACAAGACAGGAAGGTCAGGACTCAAAGATCTGAGTCTCCAAAATCTAATTTCTTTGTCATAAATTGATTTTTTTTTCTTCCTGCAGCTTTACCAATATAGGCATGAATTTGAAGAGCAGTACACATTGAATATAGGACAGGGTTAGTGCTAATTCAAATACAGTACAAGTCCTATATATGTTCTAGCTGGCTAATGAGTCCAAAGTAGCTGCTAATACCCTTCCTCGTTTACACAAATATGTATTTATCCTATTGCATGACACCCCCTTGGGCAACATTTACTGTTTTTAAAGAGAGCAAGAGCTGCCTAAACAGGGATATGATCTCCCAAAAGGTTTTGATGCTGCTCTGGAAAAATGTAAAGGCCCATATGACGTATAGGATATAGTCTGTTTTGAACAAAGAAAAGCTCGAATAAGTTCAAAAACTGGAGATAAAGGTCAAATTCTGTTCTAAACTATGTGGGTGTAAGTCCAGAGAAACTCCACTGTAATTAGTCTGGATTTACACTGATGTAACTTAAAACAGAATTTGCCACCAAAATTCTTATACTATATACCATAAGGGAAAATAAATGACTTACAATATTTAAGAATTTAGTTTCTTTCATATGTGTATTGAGGACAGATGTTTAAGAAAATATACTATAGATGCCAAAGTCTATAGAGACAAGACCTAGCAGTGGGTTGGCAAGATAGTTCAGTAGTGTTCTTTGTCTAAATAGGGGCAGGGGCAGGTAGGGAGAGAAAGACAGAAAGAGTATGGTCAGAAATAGAGCTAGTCAAACAATTTTTACAAAACTTTTCTCAATTGAAACTGAAATGTTTTCCAGAAACATATTGGTTTTGAATAATTTTTTGTCAGGAAAGTTTCTCCGGTCCAAGATGGTATTTCTGACAGAGAACAAACAAGAGAGATACTCCTGGAAGAGACTCAGTGATTAGGGCACTCACCTGAGATGTGGGAGACCCAAGCAGGCACTTGAACCTGGCTCTTCCATATCCCCAGTGTCTGCCCTAAGCACCAGGCTATCTAGGCTATTGTTGGATCTTGTGCTCTCAATTTTTCCATTAAAATTTCTAAAAGTCTCGATTTTGTTCTGCTTTGGAATGAAAACAAATTTCAAAACCTGAAATTTTTTTGCAAAATGGAATTGTTTTTTTCCAGCCAACCCTTGAAATGAAGTTGCATTCTGGTGAGAAGTTGAATCAAGATGTTGTATTTAAATAAATGGATTCACCTTTACATTTTTACTTAAAAAAAAAGGCCTATGATAGACACACACAAAAAACCACAATACATTTGACATAGTGTTTAATTAAGTCTTCCTTCAAAAACACTATGGTTGGTTACAGTGCCCGAGATGATAATCTTCTCAGATTGATCTGAAAAGATTCAACCAACATTGGCTTCTTTCCACCGTGGAAGACACATATGTAGCCACAATCCATCTCAGAGAGCAGTTCATCACATCTGGAAGTTATGCAGAAAACATTGCTTCTAGTAACAATGCTGAGCACTTTTGGATAAAGGCCTTAGCATATCACAATTGTAAACTCTTTGGGGGCAGGGACCACCTTTTTGTTCTGTGTTTATATAGCATCTGGCACAATGGGGTCCAGGTCCATGAGCAGGCTGCTAGGTGCTACCACAATACAAATCAAAGTTCAAGCACAATCACAGTTTTGAGGCTTACTGCATGTGGACGTGCCCATTACTGAGATTTGGTCAATGCAAGAAACTGTTGTGAGGGTAAGAAAGACAGCCAAAATGTTATGCTACTGTAGTCACTAAAACAGTTTCCTCACTTGATGAGACACATGCACTGCAAGATAATGAAGAATAAAGGAATGTGTGTGTTGGGACAGCAAGGTTCCAGCTTCTTGGAACAGGAGAAGCAGTTGTATAGGGACTTGAATGGAGTCTTGTTTTTCTGTAGTCTGAGAGGTTATTTTGCAGGCAGATAGGACATGCAATCTGCCATTAATAAAGATTTCCTTTGGCTTTGTAAGTAAATAAGTCTAAATTGAAATGTTGTGTTCTTACTATCTTACCATCTCTGCTCAAAGCCATATTCTACAGGAGCAGTACACACTGCAGATAAAAAAGACAAGGATAAAGTATTCATAATGCATCTGCATCCGCTCATTATTCTTCCAAAAGCAAAATAACTCATTCTAACTCCAACACTTGTCTGTCTGCTCAGAAGTTGCGACATTATTATTTTGGCTTTTCCCATCAAATCATAAGAAAGGTTGCGTATTGGTCTTGAGCAGAGAATTAAGCCACACCAGGAATAGGCTGACATACTGTAGAACCTCAGAGTTACAAACACCAGAGTTACAAACTGAGCTGTCAATCACATGCCTCGTTTGGAACCGGAAGTACACAATCAGGCAGCAGCAGAGATTAAAAAAAGCAAATAAAATACAGTCCTGTGTTAAACAAACTACTAAAAAAATAAAGGGAAGTTTAAAAAAAGATTTGACAAGATAAGGAAACTGTTTCTGTGTTTGTTTCATTTAAATTAAAATGGTTAAAAGCAGCATTTTTCTTCTGCATAATAAAGTTTCAAAGCTGTATTAAGACAACGTTCAGTTGTAAATTTTTGAAAGAACAACCATAATGTTTCGTTCAGAGTTATGAACATTTCAGAGTTACGAACAACCTCCATTCCCAAGGTGTTTGTAACTCTGAGGTTTGACTGTATTGATAAATAACTGAACCAATATCAAAAAATGGCCAAGTGGATTCAACAAATGGGGACAAGGGGGTGAGACAGGTCTGCCCCTCCCCCCCGGACCCGTGAGACAGGAGGAAGACTAAGTTTTTCTGAACTCATTCCAAGAGAGACTGGGGAGTGGGAGACAGTGTGTCCCCATCACCACACATGATGGGCAGTGGTTTCACACCCAGAATCCTTCAGATCACAGGGGAACCCATAGGAGGCAAGGAATCTCCGCACAGCCATGCTCTGCTGGCTCTGGGGCTCACTGACTCCCTCCTCCAGCTTCCAGGCAGCATGACTCCAATGGAGGCTATTAGCAGGCCACTGAGACATTTTATCCTTACCCACAAACATATTTCTCCAGCTCAGCGGCAGCAAAAAAGCATGCAGCTTCATGCTATTGATGAGTCTCACAATAGTTCTTTACCTTTCCAATTTATAGATCCCTGTATAGGCATTTTAGGATAACCTCTAACAACGTACCTTCCTTTAATTGGTGTGTCCCAGATTCTATCACACTTTGGACACAGTACACTTCCCGGACTTGTATCCCACCTCCACAAAGGGCTGTGTGCTTATGTCGGCGAGGGTCCTGTCCATCAAGGAGGAGAGTAACTTGGCATGCTTTCCATTCAGAAGTCCTCCATGAAAACCTTTGGAAGAAAAATAGTGTGTGTAAAACAAGGTTTTATATAAGACCATGGGGCAGTGGGTGTTAGAAATTTGTTATTCTTTAGTATGCAAACACTTTAATCTTTGTCGTACATCTTTCTACTTCAAGACAGACCTACCAGTGCCAGGCAATACGTTAATCCAGTACTTATGTAGAATTTTTCACACTTGTATATCAACAGGGATTGAGTGATTTGCTCCATATAGGGAGTAAGTCTGAAAGCTGGCTGTTAATCCTGCCCTCAGGTCACAAGGCCATAACTCTCTGTCAAAAACTAAAGACCTAATTGTGAGAGGTACTGAACACTTGCACAGTCAACAGAGTACCAAGCGTTCAAGAATATCTTGGGATTTGGCCTCTGCGTGATAGCTTCATAAAGTTCTAGGGTGTATTGGGTACTACCAATTGCTTCTAGAAGAGGACTGCAATACTTGAATTAATTTCTCTTTCTTGAAGTTGTGAGACACATCAGATTTAGATAAAACGTATTTTCTCAGCACAGTTAATTTGTGTATAATAAAGAACATAAACACTTTGGAATTTTCTGTTCAGGAAAGGTTTAAATTCTGACACACAAATCTGTAAGTGCCACATAGACAAACACCCAAATTTGAATTGGATACATCAGAGGGTTTGTGTATTAGAATACATGGTGCAATTGGAGGTTAAAAATGGCTGATCTGCCAAAAAAGAATTTATTAAAACTATGGAAAGGAACAGAAACAAAAATCATGTTTTTCCCATCTCATCTACAAGTGTGGGGGATCTTTCAGAGGCACTGACAATCTCTGATCCAATGAACAGGACACCAGACTGAGAAACAATTGACCATCTGCAAAATGGAGAAGATACTTCCTCTCCTATGTGAAAAACTTTAACATCTACAGATAAAAAAGCACCATATAAATACCAAGTATTATAATGTTTCTGTTGACGCATATATTGTGTTATCTACCATTCTCCTTAGAGTCTTCTGCAATCTTTTCTATTGCCTCCCTTTCTCCATATTCCCTCAGTCTCCATATGGTCCTAATTTCTTAAAATATGTACAAAATAAGTTTCATTCCTTCCTTTGCCCCCAAAACAAAACACACTCTCCTGGTATCTCAATTTCACTGGTTGTTAAATTTGCATGATGTGTTTGTCTTGTCACATAAATCATAAGTGCATGCACCTTTGGATGTCCTTTGTGAAGAAACATTTCCAGCTTGAAATTCTATGTGTTGTCTTTAGAAAATATGTGTAGGTAGGGCATAGATATTACAAGGAAACTTAAACTGCAAATTATTTGAAAAAAAAAAAAAAGTGAGCACACTTCAACAACATTTTCTAAACATTAGATCTTGTGAATATCAGTCATTTCTAGCCTCAAAGCACTTATGAATTTTGTAATGTCTTCATGGAAGATGTTGTGAATATTGCCAATTATTTCTAATTTACAGGTATTTTTCAGATTAGCTGTCTTGCTCTCTCTTAAATAATATGCAGTATATCTTGTGCACATTTGGATACATTCACAGGGTTTATTACCAGCAAAGAGTAATACAGTCTGTACATGACATGCATGAAATAATTGTACTCCCACAATACATAAATAATGGAGAATTCTTTTGTACAGAAGTTCCTTTTGTAGGTTATCACAGCTTTTCTAATATTCAGTATTAATACAGGTCTCCAGTTTTCATATGAAGACAGAGAATCACACTTAACTGAACAAGGTACTCTACCACATTTCTTCCCACATCAGATTAAAATATCATATCTTTTAGAGTATACAGGACCCAATTTTCAAAACTGGATGCCTAAAGATAAGTCCTTATTTCATCATCTAAATACTTGTTTTAGGCACTTACGCACTGATTTAAATCAGCGTAATTTTAGGCTCTGGACCTTCTGAAAATCAGGCCATTAGCATTCAAAATTATACAACATAACTAAATGTATCTCCGCTCAAACATAATTAAACCTCATCGGTCTACAAGGTTGAAAAATCCCCTTAGAATTGCAGTACACAGAACAAGTGGATATTCTGCTGCTGAGCAACCATGTGCTGTAGTCATTGCCTGTTTATCAACAGAAAAACTTTAAAGTAGAGGGTAAAACCATATCAATTCAATGGTGTTGCTTTGATCAGTCAGACAGGCCCTATGATACAATAAGAGTTTATGAAAAGCAAAATTCTACTCATGTATTAGTTGATTTAAATATACACACTGGCTGTCGGTTAAAAAAAAATCAACTATACCAAAGAGATATCGGATATACTACAGTTATCTACTGTATCTACCAAACCTACCATACAGGAGAATTTCCCTGCACTTAGTGTAAGGAGGGTCTGAATGAGCTCTCCCCTAACATCTAGCGATGAACTGGAGGGTGGGGGGGAATTTCAGGTGAAGACCATGTTTGCATAGACACACCTACTCTGTCCAGGTGTGCAGCAGATAGAGCTGCTGTGCCAAAATGATCACAACACAACAACCAGGGGTCACCCATTGAAATTAATAGGCAGCAGATTTAGAACAAACAAAAGGAAATACTTCTTCACACACACAGTCATTTGCACAATCAACCTGTGGAACTCACTGCCAGGGGGTGTTATGAAGGCCAACATTATAATTGGGTTAAAAAAAGAATTAGATAAGTTCCTAGAGGATAGGTCCATCAATAGATGAGTGGGGATGCAACCCCAAACTCTGCATGTCCCTAGCCTCCAACTGCCAGAAAACGGGAGTGGATGACAGAGGTGGATCACTCAATGATTTCCTGTTCTGTTCATTCCCTCTGAAGTACCTAGCATTGGCCACTGTTGGAAGACAGTATACTGGGCTAGATGGACGGTTGGTCTGACCCAGTATGGCCGTTCTTATGTGGATCTCAACACACTTCCATAGAAATGAAATACAGATACTTTAAATATGACATTGAACATTTTGTGCAGCTCTATTAACACTTAGCATCTTGAATTAGGTCAATGTTTTTATTCAGAGAGCAAGGATGAGCCCTCTGACTATTTATCTCTACATAGTACCGTCTATCTATCTATCTAAGTAATACACAAATGGATGTCTTTGGTTTTTAAATTTACACAAGTTCTCCTCTGTGTGATCTTCCATTGCAGCAGGTGGGGTGTGTGTGTGTGTGTGTGTGTGTGTGAGAGAAGGATTTCGTTGTTTTGAAAGAGTTCAACCCAAGAGAAGGATTTAATCAAAAATGTGTATTTTGACATTTCAGTAGTTTGCATTGAATCAGATCTCTTCTGGCAAGGAGTATCACAATTAGGGTGCTGTCGCTGAGAATGTTATGTTCCCATCTCTTAATGGTGAGAACTTGGGTCTATCGGTCTTCATTGCGCCTGTTGAGCATATCATCGAGTTGGAGTAGAGAGGTTAATTTGACTTCTATATTTGTCACTGGTGTGACCCCTGCTAGAATCTTGTGTCCAATTCTGGTGCTCCCAATTCCAGAAGGATGTTGATAAATTGAAGAGGGTTCAGAGGATTCAGACAAGAGCCACATGAATGATTAAAGGATTAGAAAAACTTCCTTATATAGTGATAAGCTAAATAGAGCTTTTTGAATCTAACAAAGAGCAGGTTATGGGGTATCTTGATTACAGTCTGTGAGTATCTACATCGGGAACAAATGTTTAATAATGTGCTCTTCAATCTATCAGAGAAAAGTATAGCACAATCCAATGGCTGGAAGTTGAAGCTAGACAAATTCCTACTGGAAATAAGGCGAACGTTTTTAAAAGGTGAGAGCAATTAACCATTGGAACAAATTACCAAAAATTGTGTGGATTCTCTATGACTGACAACTAGGAATTCTTTCAGGGAAGTTTTGTGGCCTGAGTTAAACAGAAGGTCAGACTAGATTATCACAATGATCCCTTCTGGCTTTGGAATCTATGTATGCTGGGTAAGGTGATCTCTGAGGTTGGTCTCAGTCCATTAAAAGTCTTGTAGATTATGACCAGGAATTCTGCTCATGAGCCAATGAAGAGTCAGTGGACTTCAGGAAGCACAACCATGTGCCAATGCTGGTCTTTGTTACTAATGAAGTGTGTTGCTCTGTGTTGTACCTTTTTCACTTTCAAGCTTTTACACTGAAGCCCAGGTAAAAGTTATGATGGTCCAATCTGGAACTGAAAAAGGCATGATTTACCACGTCAAAATCCTCATATGTGAGAAGCTAGTGAACCCTCCACGTCAAGTTTCTGTATGCCCAAGAATAATGAGGCCGGTGTCTGAATAATGTTAGCCAGGACATTGCCCTTTAGAGCACTCTCACCACTCCCAATTCAAAGAACTAGTCAGTGATTACACTACTGATTTTCAGAGTGAAAGAGAAGCAGCCTATCTGTTCTGAATTGGTACACTTCCATGTAAGTCGTAACAACTCTAAAAAGAATTTTCTACCTTTAAATAAGACACGTTATGAGCATAATTCATAATACAATACCTTCACATTCAGATCTCAGCATGCCCTCTAAAATAAAAGAGCAGCTCTTAAAAGTTTCTCATTATTTCCAAATACTTTTAATTTTTGGAAAGCTTTGACTTGCTGACAAGGCAAAGAGGTTTCTCTCTTTATTATGTCATTGTCTTGTTACTCGGCAACCATGGAAACTCAAGAGAATTCAAGAAATAATTACAATTCTGGCAAAACTGTATATTCCCAGTGAACATGAAAACACATTTGGGGTTCAAATAATATTATAAAATAGTTTAAAAGAAATTGCTGACTCCATGATAGCTATATTGCAAATAACTTCTTTATAACTTATTTGATTCATAGCATCATAGAAATGTAGGACTAGAAGGGACATCAAGATGTCATCTGGACTATCCCCGAAAGCTATTTATCTAACCTGTTCTTTAAAACCTCCAGTGACGGGGATTCCACAACCTCCCTAGATACCCTGCTCCAGTGCTCAGCTATCTTTATATTTCTAATATCCTACCTAAAATCTCCCTTGCTGCAATCTTGTCCTACTGTCAGTGGACCTGGAAAACAATTAACACTACACTCTTTGTAACAACCTTTTACGTATTTGACAATGTCCTCCCCATTAGTGTTCTCTTCTGTATACTAAATTTGCCCAAATCTTTCAATCTTTCCTCATAGGTCATATTTTCTAAGCCTCCTATAATTATTATTGTTCTCTTCTGAATTCTCTCCAATTTGTCCACATCTTTCTTAAAGTGTGGTGCCTAGAAACGGACACAGTACTCCAGCTGAGACATCACCAGTGCCAAGTAGAGCAGATCAATTACCTCCCATGTCTTACGTATGATGCTCTTGTTAATACAAAAGGTTAATATATTCTGGGGTGTAACAGCATCACATTGAGTCATATTCAATTTGTGATGCACTGTAACCCCTAGGATCTTTTCTGCAGTACTGCTGCCTAACCCACTTGTTCTCCCATTTTATATTTCTGCAGTAGATTTTTCTTTCCCAAGAAGAATATTTTGCACTTGCCTTTACTGAATTTCATCTTATTGATTTCAGGCCAGGTCTCCAATTTGTCAAGATTATTTCTAATTCTAAGCTTGTCCTCCAAAGTGCTTGCAACCACTCCCAGCTTGGTGTCATCTATTAATTCTATAAATGGACATTCTACATCATTATCCAACTGGTTAATGAAAATATTGAATAGCACCAGACCTAGGACAGACCCCACTTGATACAGTCTCCCAGTCTGACAGCAAACTATTGATAACTACTCTGAGCATTATTTTTTCACCTACTTGTGCACCCACCTTATAGTAATTTTTCCTAAACTATATTTTCTTAGTTTCTTGTCATACTGTGTAAAAGCCTTATTAAAGTCCAGATATATCATGTCTACTGCTTTCCTCCATCCACCCGGTTGGTTATCCTGTCAAAAAAGGAAATTAGGTTGGTTTGCCATGATTTCTTTTTGACAAATCCATGCTGGCTATTACTTGTCCCTTATTTTCCTCTAGGGGCTTACAAACTGATTGTGTAACAGTTTGTTCCAGAATCTTTCCAGGTATTTGAAGTTAGGCTGACTGGTCTATAATTCCCTGGGTTCTCTTTGTTCCCCTTTTTAGAGATAGGTACTATGTTTGCCCTTCTCTAGTCCTCTGGGACCTTACCAGTCGTCCATGAGTTCTCAAAGATAATTGCTAAAGGTTTAGAGATTGTTTCAGCTAGTTCCTTAAATACTCTAGGGTAAATTTTGTCAGGCCCTGCAAACCTCTTCATCTCTTTAGCCTATCAAATTGATTCTCTTTGTATGTACAACAGTTTTACATCACTGTATTCACTTTAATTGATTTATTCCTGATTTAAACCAGGTAAATGAAAGAAGAATCAGCTTGTGTGTTTAAATTTGCCAAGCATATGAATAACTAATAGCAACACAGAACAGTACACACTAAACTTCATGACACTTAATGCTGCTTTAATATTTTCCTTTTTGCATTTAAGCTATTGATTTTAGGAAGTTATTTTAAATTTTAACTGCAAAGTGAAAAGCTCTTCATACTTTACCATCCAGGGCATGTGTGGAAACTTATAATGGTCTTACCAAAAAGTCTCCTTTAGAAGAACTAGTTTTCTGGAGCTGATGGTAGCAAGTTCTTTCATTAGAGTGTTGGGGATGTACATAATATTTACCACTGCCCTCTGCTAGATGGAATCAAACCAGCTCAAGTGTTTGCCTTATCCCAAGAGAAGGAAGGAAACATCCCAAGCGCTACAGGCTGCAGTTCACAACAGGTATCGTGTGCACACTTCCTTTGTTCCTTCCTCTTCAGGCATGGAGAGCTTCATAAGGGAATGGTCCCCCTGAGAAACTTCCTTGGGCAATGGGCAGAGCTTATAAGAACTATATGTTAAAGCAAACTAAACCAGAAGTCAGATTGTGTGTTTCCTAGGAATTAGGGAAGTAGAGGTAAAATATCACTGTACAGATAGACTAAAATGAAGTTCATATTAGAAGGAATGTGAGTAGGCCTTTCAAATGCAGGAGGAAGCCTTAAGCTTCCAATCCTGGATCTAGGTTCTTTGTACTCATCCCCTTTCTGCAAGAGAAGAAAAGAAAGGATGGAAGTCCACCTTTACCCCAGCAATGCAATGGACAAGTCACACATGACCCAAGAGTGAGAAAAATATATACTCTCTCTAGGTATTACATTGACAGTGGGGAGAAATAGCATGCCATTCTCCTCAAACAGAAGATGACACTCCTAGCATATCTCAGGCAACGTTATTCTACAACTATGAGGTACCAGTTTCTAGTGTGAAGGACTCGCATCCTGCCAAATTGGCTTTGTCCTTATCTGAAAATTTCCAGTAGTGTTTATAAGAAGATAACTGCCAGATCAACAGGCTGTAGATGGTAGTGTGAAGATATAACATCTCTTGCTGACTGCAGATGATGTATGTAGGCTCAATATTTAGACATTTCTGATCTTGTATTTCTCATATAGGATTTAATTTTAGACTCAATGGTATTGGATCCAACAGGTCTGCAATATATAGAATACCATTGTATAGTTCTTTGCTTTCCAATTGGTTAGATTTCCTTGAATCCAGTATATGCCTCTGTAGAAGAGAGCGGCCAAAGGAAGGACTTCTAGAAATGAAACCTCTCACAAGCTTAACCAAAACACACACTAGCTGGTGTTCAATAACTTCATAGCCTACTTCCAGTCCTGGGGGGCATCTAGTCCCTGTAAATCATTGCTAACTAAACACTGTGGATTGTTTGCAGAATATTTGCCCCAGTGGCTAGAACAATCTGAAATCTTATGATCATCATTCTGGACCAGATCATGTGAGAATGTTGTGCTAACAGAAAGGGTACCCGGCTCAGCTGCTAGACGGGGTGTGGCCAATAGCAGTCCCTGTGCTTTAATGTGCAGAATGCTGAAAAGTAGATGGGAATGGGTGGAAAGAAGCTTAGAGTTTCTGGGATGATGAGAATCCCCCCCCCCAACCACACACACACACACACAATGACCCACGGTACAGAGCTGGCATACTGAGAGAACAATCTGTTCCATCTTAACAGGTAGAGCAGAGCACACACAACCCTCTCCCTGTGCACAAAGAGTAGCACTGGGAGAGCTGTATGAGGCACCAGCATGGGGTACAGCCTCTGGTGCGCTTGCTGGTGTTCCACACCACCATCTATACAGTGCTGTGGTGCAACTGTCACAATCTCGTACTCCAATTCATCAGTGTAAAAAAAAAATGGCAGGGATGGGAACCTAGGCTACAGACACACCTCTCGTCACTTCCTCATTAACCAGCAGTTCGTGTGTTTCAATCAGGTATCAACTGAAACAATTGTACACAGAGCATAAAATCAGCAGAACAATCTCTCATTCTTTTGTCTTTGAAATTGACGTGCATTTAGGTAAAGAGTAAAAATCAGTACACGAGAGCTTGTTTGTTGGATCCAATCAAGCAACCGAATTTTTTTACCTACCCACCCCCCTCCTGCTCCTAGCTGGGGGCACAGAGCTGATCAGCAATTGGCTGACTTTGAAGGAACTCAAGTTGTGATCCCTTTAATGACACTTGCACAGGTTTCGTGTTTCCAAGAGGATGTGCATCTTGCAGAGTCCGTCCCCCCCCCCCCATCCCCTCCGCCAGAGGCTTTTTGGCTGCAATATGGAGTCAGCAATCGTGGGGACAACGTGTCTCCTTGTGGGAGGGTTTTGGAAGTTGGTAAGATCAAAGCCATGCTGTTCCCTCCCACCAATCCCTATTTACCCACGAGGATGTTCTTTTCTGTGGAGAGAGAAGAAATAGTCATCCAAGATGAGCTTTCACTGCTCTTTGCCTGTTGTGGACCCTTTCAAGTTTTCCAGAGCCAATTAACAGACAGCCATGGACACCTGCCCCACCTCCATGAAGTCAGAGAGGCTCTGTGTATGCACAGGAGCTCTCTTTCCTCACCTGCAAAGCCACGGATTCTGCCCCTAGTTCTGCCCTCTGTGAGCAACTAATTCTCTTCAGGTGTCTATATAATAAGATTCCAGGATTGTCATTGTCTCCGTCACTCTGAAGCCAAAGATGTCTGAGTCAGTGCGAAGCGATGGAAGTGGTTAAAGGCATGGTTGAGTGCGCTTTCTGTTCAATCATGACTGGAATTCAGAGTTTGGTACCATCCAATTTTTAAGTTCTCAGCCATTTTGACTTTATATATTATACCCAGGCAACAGTAAGACATGTATCTATGCCATTCCAAGAATCCTAGACCATTGTGATATCAGAGGTAATTTAACCAATCACCTGTCTCACTCTCCAGCTAAGTTTCATGCAACAGTTTCAGACAGACAGTGGATTACTTGATCCAATTGCCGCACCCGTGAGCCCAGCTGACACTCCCACAAATCAACACAAATTGCCCAGCACAACCCCCTAGACACAAATCAACACAACCACCAACACAACAGATAAAATAACCCCTAACACATACAGCCCTTCAACGTATCACTCTCCCCTCATTCAACAACCACACAGATCCATACAGCTCTCCCAACATACCACACCCCACCCATAAATCAAGATAATCAGCACACACATAATAACCTCAAACATCACTTTGAAGCCTAGAATGTCTGAGTCAGTGTGAAGCAATGGAAACAGCTACAAACATGGTTGCGAGCTTTTTGTGTTTAGAGTATCACTGAGATTCACTGTGTGTTACCTTTCAATTTTTAAGATCTCATCCATTTATGAATTACACCCATGCGGCAGCATGGGCTTTCAGCTACTAATTCAAGAATAAGTTTACATTTATACTTTTAAAAAAAAATCTTTGAATCATTAACCTTTTTGCGAAAATAAGGGGAGGGGGCGTAGAGAGACAGGAATAAATTTGACCTTCGTTATCAAAGAGCTTTGCTGGTTCCCAACAAATAGGCAAACAGGGCTTTGCATTCCACTTGAAAAGGTGCTGATAAAAGCATATAATATACCTGGGGCACGGATGGAGAAGTTCTTTTCCTCCTACGTTGCAGGCCTCCTTCTCTTCTAGCTCAGGGCACTCCTTCCCAGTTCCTACTACAATGTATTTTATGCTCCTGTGTCTGCTTCGGAATCCTGGTGAGAGATCCCCCGAGTGACAAGTCTTCGAGCAGGTGCTCCACACAGACCAAACTGATGTCTCGCAATCTTTAGGCATGACACATGACTGAAAGGTCAGTGGGATGGTTTCTTGCATACAAAGGCTGTGATGAGAAAATGGTAAAAAAAAATCTGAGGAGTTCTTGTTTGTTGATAGATTTTAATTTTTCTACAGTCCCCTTCCACCTCACTGCCCTCCCTCCCCCCCCAAAATTACATACAGGTTCTGATCTCACTTCCATCAGTGCAAATCCAGAGTAATTTCAGTTAAATTAATGGAGTTATACCAGGGTAAAATTGGCGTAAGTGAAAGGTGAATCAGGTGTGATATCATAATTAATCTGGCATGTTTTAGGAAAGACTGTATTTAGATTTTTTTCTGCTAAAATATCTTGCACAGTGTATGTCCAGCTCACCCCGAGTTAGAAAAGATTCAAAAAGCAGTTCAGTGATGATATACTCTGCAAACTTCTTTTTATGAGCTGGATCAAGCCCGTACTTCACAGTCTATCCAGGACAAAAAAACCACACACAGAATATTGCAGAACTGCTGTCACTATGAACAGTTCACATCACCACATTCTTTCTGTTGGATATCCAAGTGTCCAAGTGAGTCAGGAGCTGAAATAGTTCCTGCTGAACAACACTTCTCTGAGAGACTGGAGGGAGCTCAACATCTTTAGGATGAAGCAATAAAATTAGGTTTTTAAACCTGTGATTCTGGGATCACACCAAGAAGTAGAGTGAGGGTACGTCTATATTTACCCGCTGGTTTGGTGGCCAGCAATCGATCTTCTGGGATCGATTTATCACGTCTTGTCTAGACGCGATAAATCTATCCCGGAAGTGCTCGCTGTCGACGCCAGTAATCCTGCTCTGCGAGAGGAGTAGGCGGAGTCGACGGGGGAGCCTGCCTGCCACGTGTGGACCCGCGGTAAGTACCTTTAAGTTCACACTAAAATACTTCGACTTCAGCTATGTTATTCACGTAGCTGAAGTTGCGTATCTTAGTTCGAACTGGGGGCTTAGTGTGGACCAGGCCTGACATGCGGACCAAAACCATATTAGTTCTAATAGACATTCTGGCTTTGCGTTCTCTTGGCTTGATTAAAACCACTAAATTAAATATTTCTAGATCTACAGAGTGATTCCAAAGCCAAATGAAAGCAAAAAGCTCCTGGAATTTTGCAGCTGGATTCTGTGGATCTGATTCTCCAATATTTGCTCCTTTTGTCATTTATATCTGTGCAAAATCATTGTAAAGTGCTTGTTCACTTTACAGAAGTGCGCATCACTATGCCAGGTGAACGTGGAGAAGCAGGCCTTAAGAGTTTACAGCTGCAGACAGCGTTATATTAGAATGACTCAAGAGTACCTCAACAAAAAAAACAAAAAGCAAACAATCCCTGAAGTACCGAATTAAAACAGCTTTTCAAAAATACAGAAACTTGATTACTTCAAGCAAGTAACTTTTCTCTCTGATTAAATATCCCAATGCTAGCTATAGGAGCACACGTATGCAGGCAGCTACCTGATCAATTCCTTTTTTCTTCTGCTCAATGGCATTTAGTAGAACTGCAAAAGGGAACCTGCAGAAAACAACAATTCCTGCTCCACCCCTTTACAGTCTCTCCTCCTCCACAGCCATCCGCAGTTCAGCCACAGAGCCATCAATGGTCCTCTAGAAAAGAAGAAAACCCCTTTCCTACCCTCCAGTGCCATAGCAACTGGTGCAATGGGAGGTGGGAAGGGGTAAAATGAGAGAAAATGTAGTGACTTAGGGGCAGGGGTTTCACCAGGGAGACACCAAGAAAGTGGAGATGGGGGGGGGGGGAGAAGATGGAGACAGCAGAGAAAGAAAACTCTGGGATGGGGAATCCCAGGGAAAGACAGAGTAAGCAGGTATTTGCCCAGACTTGTAAATGTCCATGACCAATTTGCAAGGTTGGTATGAAACTATTACAAATGTAGCTCAGCTAAGTGCAGACTTCTCTTTCCTTTGTAATTTTATTCTTTTCCAGCCTCTAATGGCTCACAATCAGGGTTTTACCAAATGCAAAGAGCAAAGCGTGTAGCTCTTAAAAGGTGGGAAATGTCAAGGGATCAGTTATTGAATCTCTTTTAGATTACTTACTAACACAGTGAAACTAACCAGGGCACATGCTTTCATTCAGGGCTCTTTACTAGAAACTGGATATTTATAAAACTAAGATGGAAGGAATCCTTTTACATGCTTCTTCCATAGTGATCTAAAATGTCCTAGGTGCCTGACAGTACACAAGAGACATGACCCCTGTCCTGGAAACTTATAGTCCAATATCAGACATGTGACAACTAACCGGAAATAAAGCTGAAGGAAGGGTTTGTGAGAGGGAGGACAAGAGTTACACCAATAGCTATTTAGATTACAAGCTCTTTAGGGCAAGGACCTTCTCTTTGATTGTATGTTTGTACAATGGGGTAGTGGCTTCGAGGTGCTATCATAATACAAGTAAATACTAAGATCATACAGTTACTCAGCAATGCCTGGTGGACAATTTAAAAAAAATATGTAACATCTCTGTTGCGTGTCCCAGTAGAAGTAGGTCTCAAGGAAGAATTCAATAAGGAGAAGTGGTGGTTTGGTGGACCAGCTCAGGCCACAAAACAGGAAGTAGAATGGGAGAGAAAAAGAAGAGATGGTTGTGGGAGAAGGGGACAAAGCAGGAGGACAGGGGGCGCATATAGGCTGTGATTTTGGGTGGAGTGACTCAGTGCTGGGGGTGTGGGGGATTAGGCTCTGGCTCCTTGTTAATATACTTTCCGCCAACATACCCCAGTAAAAAGTAACGTGACCCATGGAAAATTTTTGGGGCCAGTTACACAGGCATTACACATGGAATACCAGTGTGGAGAACTAGGAGAGCAGGATTTTTTTTGCTCACTCCAAACTGCATCACATTGCTTTCTTGAAAAACCTTTTTTCCCTTTAATTTAAACCCATATTCTCCCCCCATGGACCCCAAAGCATGATTCAATTGAATACATACATGGAAAATACTTTCTAGTCAAAGGTAAACCTGTGCTACGGACTAAAGATAGTCAAATCCCTCCCTTACTGCAAAGCTGGCACAAACAGGAGCACTCTGTGTGTGTTTATTCTCCCCTCCCCCTAAGAATTTTTACCCTGCCATACACATTTTTCCTCCCTCTCTGAAGATTTCTTTACACTTCTAGCCACTTACTTCTCTTCATTCCGCTCCCACTGTTTTTTCCCCCAGCTCTGCCCACGCTCTACTCCTATTAAAGTAAGAATCTGAGATGGATTTTTGAACGCACAGTATTTAACTATGATGGTCAAGTGATCTAATTCCAGGTCTGATCTTCATTCCCTCTATCATGGGGGGCAGGTCACTAACCACCTGTGTCACAGTCTCCCTATCTGTAAAATAGGGATACTAACCTCTTCAGTGAGGTGGGGGGGAGGTGGGATTAAACATGCTCATAATGCCATTTGAAGAGGCAGAGCACTTTAGCCAGAGCTCAGCTTTATGTAGCCATGAACACTACATTCCTGAAAATACTCTGAAAGCTGTATTAGTAACATTGCAACACTTTAAATAAGCATAGCACTTATATAGGCAGAGATTTGTGCATTCCTGTCTGCAACTTTTGCCCTCACCAACAAACATAATACCTCTTTTTTACCTTTATTACCTGCTGCCAGTCATGGGGCATGCATAGCTATGCAGTTCTTGCATTACTACTTAGATCTGACTAGTCACCAGGAGACAGTTTGATGGACTTTGATAGGAAACAAACAGGGGGGAAAGATGGATACGTAGGCTGTGCATTAGAACTACCACTTATTTTGCAGCATATAGGATAATTTAAAAGCATTCAAGAGCAGCTGGCTCCTGTTACCTAGAGTTGCTATCCTGAGGAGACAACGTGTGGAAGTGGCCTCGCCACAAAGGGGACAAATCCTGGTCCCACTGAAGTCAATAAGAGCATTGTCATTGTGAGTGCTCTGCACATTTGAAAATAAGGTGACTTAGAGGCTGACCCAACTGCTATTGAAGTCAATAGGAAAATTCCCACGGATTTAATTGAATTGGATTTGGTCTTTATATATTGCCCACATATGGCTTTAGGGGCCTAACTTTAAGCACCCACATTTGAAATTGTTTAACGTCAACCCTTCTGTGTCTTAGTTTCCTCACCTTTAAAATTAAGAAACTACTTCCTTACCTCTGGGGCGTTGTGAGGGTGAATTAATTAGTGCTTAGAAGCACTAAGTGCAACATATTGTTATCCTAAGCAAAGACTGTAAATGAGCTAAACATGCAAAATTAGGCACTCAGATATCAGGATGATTGTGGTATAAAAACCTGAATGGAAAGCATCGACTACACTATGGGATAGCTCTCTGTTGTCCAGTGAAGCCTAAGATGAAAACTCCATAACCATTTTAATTTTAGATGTATATAGGTGTTATAGGAGGTGAAATACTTACTCGCTAACCGCCTCCATCATGACCTTTAAACATTAGCACAGGTATAAAATGTCAATACATTTTAACAACGGATTGGCAACCATATCCAAACAGCTTCGGAGTTTATACCCACTCTAACCATCTTTAATCTTTTTCTTTGTAATATTAAGCTAGGCAGACAGCCTTATTTCCCTTTTACTAGTTTATCTATACATTGCTCAGGACCTTAGTAAGACAGTGTGCAAAATATTGTTTAAAAACCATTCTAATTTCTAATAGATAAGGAGCTAGTGAAAGTAAATTACTGGCCAATCTGATTATACTGAGAAATTTCATTGGATCTCAACATGGCTAGTAGGGCACCTGATACCAACATTTTCAAGAGAGTGTCAACTGAAACTAGCCTTACATACAGCTGTATAACCCCATTCCATGTTGGGGGGTTTATAGCTGCAACTGAAATTAGAATCTGCGGCAAATACTGGATCGAACAAGTTAACATAAAGCAAGTAAACAGCCCTGAATGGTGTCAAAGAACTGGATTTTCTTTTCATTTTAATATTTCTAGTGAGCAAAGGCAGTGAAAAATACATACACGTGCACATACTCTGGCCAGTGTTACCTCATAAC